TTGGGTCGGCGCTGCCCAAAAAAGTTAGAAGACGACGGTGAAAGGCTGGAGGAAGATCGAGAAAATCGGTGGATATGGAGGAATTCATCTGAAATTAGCGTACTGTGAGAGAGAGTGAGAGAGAGGGGGAGAGGGAGAGAGCGAAGGATAAGCGCGAGAGTGAGAGATAGAGATAGATAGAGAGCGAGCGAGAAATCGAGAGTGAGTGAGTCGGTGAGTGACTGAGTGAGTGAGTCAGTGAGAGAGAGAGAGAGAGAGAGAGAGAGAGAGAGAGAGAGAGAAAGCACGAGGGAAGGAGCGGGGGTAAGAAGGCGAGAACGAGCGAGATGCCGGGCGAGAAGAAGAGGGAGATAGCGGGATGGAAAGACAGAAATAAGTGAGGATAGTGTTAGCGTCTTACTCCTAGAGCTACATGAATAGGAAAATACATAAAACTGAGAGGATAACCATGCGTGGCTTATTTGTATTCGCGGCAAAGGGGAGGTGAGAGTTTTGGGAGCGAGTAGAGGGTAGGGAGAGAGAGAAATGCGAACTATACTAGCCGACGACTGCACACAAATAGAAGGAAAGAAAGAAAGAAAGAGAAAAAGAATGGAAACAAAGGCTTTGGTCTTGACCGACTGCTGCGTCCTGGAGTGCCCCGCCACCGACTTGAGCGCAGGGCCATCCAGCGCGTGTCGTCCTTCATGATGGTCTTCACGCCGCACGGCGATGTGAAGTTATCTACAACGAAATTTTATTTTTGAAATGTTTAAAAACGCTTCAGGATGACCCAAGGCCAATCTGCGCCAATAGGAAAAGGAAGTTGATTCTCCGGGTACTGCATTAGCTGTTTGTTAGCTCAATGTGTTGTTCAATTATGCATCAGAAAAATTGATACAAGAACACAGCGTTACGAACACAACAGAACACACAAAAATGCGTTACGTATCATGCCTGTAACACCTTTAGCTTCTCGGAAATAAATATTTATTTTTACGCCGGGTGCAACATGTTGAATTAAATAAAACTAAAGCCTCCAACATTCAGGTTCGTTCGCCTCTCGGACCAATCAGAATCAGAATCAATGTCGTTCAGATCATTATCGACGTCTTGCCTTTTGATAGTTATAGCACTCGGGTAGACAGCGACCTCAACCCGTTGCCCATCTTCTCGAACGTACAACGTTGGCTCGATCCAGTCAATTTCGAGCGGCACCTCATAGATGCGCACGTCCTCAAGCTCGCGAAGCCCCAATTTCCATTGTGAGAGCAACGTGTCGATGAGAGTTTGTAAATGCTCGCCCAGTGGGTCTGAATTGATTGCGAAGCGAGGACAGTTCAGCTCTGGCCACAATTCTTCCGGTATAAAGCACCGCAGCGTCAGAAACTCGAGATTGTCGCTGGCGAATTGGAGAAACTCGCGAGAGGGACTCGTTTCCTTAATATAGATAACAGCTTGGAATTTCTTATTGCGTGGCTTCAACGATCGGAGTAGGCCAATATCATCGAGGCTTGATTCAGTCATAAAGATATTAGTCTTCATTCCAGCCGGTATTTTAGCCACAGCTGTCTCTTCGAGATAAACGGACGCCACAGTAGTGCCCGAAAGCAGTAGTTGCTGGGTCAGCGGACTGTCTATGATTAGTTGCTCGTCAAAATTATCACGGAATGCAATGGCTTCTCGTGAGATCGAAATCCTGTCAGCGGTGTGGTTATCGCTTGATTGCTCGGTCAATGTCCATAGAAAGCGACATGCTCGTGCGTAGCGGAAGCGAGTCTCTGGATTCTCACAGCCAACAAAATCGAGAAGTCGCCGGTGGAAAGTGTCGGGCAAATCGAGGAAATGCATGTGGGCTCGCCTAAAAATGGAAAACGTCAGGAGTGGCGTGCGCAGTAGCGAAGCGGATAATCAGAGAGAAGGAGAAGGCAAAAATATACAGGGTGTCCCAATAACCCTCTACGACTTTCGGATTTTGGTATCAGTCGCTGAGATGATTTGTACTTTCGGATTTTCGATATTCCTGTTTCGCTTGCTTTGCGCTTGCTCGCTTGCAAAGTTACATGTTTTTTTTTTCAAAAAAATTTTATTTAATTGGCAGAACTGCGTTTTCTGATATTGCCGTTGTCTTAAACAAAAAGCCATCGTGGGGCTGTTGCAAAAGGCGCGAAAGTTCATAAATCGCAACGTTGTGAGAAAACTTGATCGGAGAAGCATCATAAATTCAGTCGATTAGTAATTGCAAGAAAAATTCCGGAATTTCGAAAATCTGAAAGAACAGCCCTCGTCAGCTTGTCGAGAGCTTTGGAGAGATCTCTGGAGAGACCTGAATCGTGAAAATCGAACAGTTTTTGGACTCCCTGTACAGCTGACATTATTAAAAACGGGACAATGACTGGATTTGAAGCGCGTAGGCAAAAGCCGCGACAGAAATTTGAGAGATTCCTGCTTGGCTTAAACTCAGACCGCGTTCGAACGGCGCCGGAAATTTGGCGGGTTCTCCCGGCTGGCAAACAACTTGGCGCCGAGAAGGGGCGTGAAAGGAGGAGACGGTGAAGCTTGCGTCGAAACAAAAACTGACTGCCATCACACACGGCTTCTTATCGCATTTTGTGTATTCCACATAATTTTGTCGCGGCAGATAGTTCTCGAGAGAGTTACCTCGTAAAGGAGTCATTGAGTTTTGATCTTCACCGGATGCCGCGCTCAATATGCAAATTTTACTGGTGCTCGATTGTAAGGGCGCAAAGATCCCTTTCCGGTTTCCAATTAGGGCCAATGGGTTCAGATAAAATTCTGCGCCCCGCGCTAACAGTCAGGAACCATTTTTGCCTAATATTTATGTTTCTCATTTTTCTGCACCAAGCTTTGAGCGCAAGCAAGGTCGGGTGGATTTAAGATTTATTCAGGGTCCAAGGTTACTACTATTAAGAGGCAGTTCACTGCGATTGAGCAATTACTTTTCGAAGCGCATATCCTCTGGCTGAACACTGAATTTGAAGTCTCTGCCCATCAAGTCGGACATGTTCAGCGGTGGGCTAGTAGACAGGGATTGCATGAAGGAGCACGGCCTCAACATTTCGTTCTCCTGCTCTCCATTCCGAGATCAGCAACTCCAGAAACGGTGCTACATCTCCATTCTCATCGGCCGATACCCAGAGCTCAAACCTCGAGCATTTCAGGTCGGACCAAAATTCTCTGGGCGGCAAGCAGTTCAATGCGAGAAATTCGACATGTGCGTTGGCGAACCGGAGGATTTGGTGTGTCGGAGGGGCTTCTCCCATGAAAAATACTCTCCCGAATTTTCGACCTGTGGGTTGCATGGAGTGAAGGAGGCCCAGCTTGAACTCCTCCTCCTCGGCCCCCGGGGTTTGGTACGACTGTTAGGTTAATGGACCTCATACCTGCTGGGATCCACTCCAGAGGTGTTTCCTGGATCGAGACGTTGCTCACAGTGGTGCCTGAGAATAGCAATTTTTGAGTACGCGGGCATCCGATCACCACTTTCTTCGATAGGCGGCCAATTTTCATTATTCCACGATAGATTAGGATCGGGTCATTTACCCGATTGTCGCTTGAATCTTCCGTCATTTTCCATAGGATCCGACTCGACCTTGCGTACCGGAATCGCGTCTTCAGATCCGCGCTTCCAATAAAATCCATAAGTCGTCGGTGGAAGGGTGTGGGTAGATCAAGAAAATTCATTGTCTTGCTCCTCCGAAATCGCAACGGTACAAATCCAGTTGAGGGAGAGCTGCTTTCGAAAGTCTAAAAGCTACCCTGGAAAGTAACGAAACAGCAGTTTTTGTTCAACCCCATGACTCAAAACCGATAAGACTCCATTTCAACCAGCTGGGCTAGCTGGCTCAAATCAATTCGTACACGGGGTTTTTATGCCAGTCAGAGAGCCCTGCATTAAATTTCGATTTTTGAAACGCTTTGTAATTTCAGATTAGCACGACAATGGATTATCAACTGCACCAAATTTTCGACGTTGGTTCTTTAGAATTCGCGGGGGGGAAGTATTCCCGGGGCGGGGAAACCAAATTTTTTTCGGCAAAGGCCTAGATCTTTTTATAAATTGCGGACGCGTTTCTAAATTGTTTTTAACTATTCCTGAGCATAAAAACTACACACATTTTAACCAAAAAAAATTTAAAAATAATCGAATCGAATAAAAATCGAACAATCCTATAGAACCTTTAGGATTCGCGGGGGGGAAAGACTCAAAATGACCAAATTTTCGACTTTTTCAAACATTTTTCTAAATTTTTCTGAAAGTTATTCTGCTTTAAATATAGTTAAAACTTACTAAAAACAATTCGAAAACACTTTATATTTGATTACTAGGTCACCCGAGACCACCAGGAAAAAAATTGGTTTCCCCCCGGAATCCTAAAGAACCTCGTCGTTTGATACAACAACCCATTTCTTTGATAAAAAATTGCTTCCCCGATTTTATTTTTTTTGGCCAATTTTTTAGCAATCTTCGCGCATTCTTGTAGAATTCTATATCAGCAAATAGATAAATCACGCACAAACACCGCAGTGAGGTCGAGATGAGATTGGTAAAATTTCGGACATAGCTTATCCGATCGAGAATTGAATTGGCCTACGCGAGGCTCCTGTGTACGCCTAGTAAAAACTTTGAAGTTTGTAACTTATTTCGCACGCTGTGAGGAAGACGGGCATTTTTTATTAATCAAAAAACCCAATAACGATCCGGTATCACGCCGTCACCCTTTCAATCACATGACAATCATCACCATGGTTCATTCGATCTTCGCACCAAATTCGAATCCGTTCACCATCACCTCGCACATGGTCCTCCAGCCGCAGGTGCATTCCCCAGCTCCCATACAGCAGAATCTTCTCAATTTCACGCCGTCCCTCCTTCCACTGTGCCACGATTTGGTCGACGAACGTTTGGATGGGCCCACGATACCGGCGAAAGACATCAATAGAAAGCCTCGGGCACTTCAACTCGATGGCCAGCAACGGATCGTAGTAGCATTGAAAGGCGTTTGCATTGAGATTTGCGTACTGGACCATTTCTGGCGTAAGAGCGCCAATGCACCAAATATTACTGTATTTTCCAGTTTCCGGTTTAAGCTTGTCCAGTAGGGAGATGGGGTCCAAGCCATCTAGAGGCCCAAGGATTCGTAGCTCAAACGCCTTCATCCCCTCCGGCACCAAACACCCACCAAGAATCGTCAGCGTGGTGGCTGCGGTTTGAGAAAGGAGCAATTTTCGGGTACGGAGCGAGTTCATGGAGATGAGCTCGTGCTGATAGTGGAACCTCGTCTGGTCGCCAGGGTAAAATCCGATTTCCCAGTCCATCCGGTTGTCCTTCGATTCCTCAGTCATTTCCCATAACCATCGACAAGTTCGGGCGTAGCGAAAGCGAGTCCTTGGATCCGCGCTGCCAACAAATTCGAGAAGACGCCGGTGAAAGGAGATGGGCAAATTGAGGAAGTCCATCGAGCGTTCTAGAATTGAAGAATTAGGAGAAGAAACTATTTCCGCAAATCCCTCTTCGGAAAGCATTTTTCGCAAGTCATATTTTCCACCGCCACAGTTTCAAAAACGGGAATTTCGGCAAATTTGCGTCCAGCTATCGATAGGAAAAAGCGTTTGAAATAACTTCCGGGAAAATGACTTTCCGAAAAACGATTTTCTTAAACGTGATTTTCGGTAAAACGATTGCCGAAAAAATTATCTCACCCAAAATCAATTGGAAAATCGATGAAATTTCTGAACCCGTGAAGCCCTGTCCCAAGGAAAACAACTGAATCTGACTCATCGCCCTATGCCAGCTGATAACGGCTGGATGATGACCCCCTTGTTCCGGAATCTGTTATATGCGCTGCATTTTTATTTTTATTGACGTTTGGGCTGTTATTAGAATGCTTGATTTATCAATAAGTCTTGGAATAAATCGTTTAATCGCATAGAAATATAACTTCACTGCCTAAATCAATTATTACAACAATTCCGTGTCAAGCAGGTGCTTCTCTTTTTGATAGGCGGGGCCCGCATTAGATCCGGTACTATGTTAAACAGATTTCTGGATGGTCGAGGATTCTTTGCGTTTTTCAGTACATAATATCGATTGAGACATCCCTGAAACCAGCCATGCGGTGTGACATAATCGATTAGCAGTCGTTGACCATCCGCGCGAACGAGTTCGCCGAGCCGTGCTTGATCGGGGTCCGCCCTAATCTGAACCTCATCAATTTCGCGCAATCCTTCCTTCCATTCCGTAATAAAGGTATCAATAAAAGGCCCAACTTCCTCACTCCTCCATGGGTATGAATTTAAGAACAATTTGGAACATTTGAATTGGATACTTTTTTCCGGGGTCATATTACCAAGATATTCAAAGCACTGGCAGTTCAGGTTGATATATCCTATCATTTGTGGGGTTAAAGTGACATCTCTTCCGAGGTCTATCCTCTCGTATTTTCGATTAGGTGGCTTGAGCTTGGTAAGGAATTCCATAGCGTGATCGTCATCACGGGGTCGTGTGTATAAGACGAGTCTATCTGTTGACATTCCATCTGGGAGGCTACCACCTGGCCAATTTACAAATAGCGCCTTTGCGACATTAGTACTCGAGAGTAATAAGTCTCTGGTACGTTCTCTCGTCACGGTTTCTGAGGACCAATCCCAATTCACGAACTTTGTCTCCGCTCCATCAAATCTCACTGAAAAACTGGTTCTGTTATCCCTCGATTCCTCTGTCATTTTCCATAAAACGCGACTTGTTCTAGCGTATCGGAATCGTGTTCTCGCGTCGGCACTCCCCAGGAAATTTAGCAGACGGTAGTGGAAAGGCTTTGGCAAGTTAATGAAGTCCAAAGGAGCACGAACTTGTGGTCTCAAAACACGGCTGCTTGGGGTATGTAATCTTCTTATGATGTATCTCCCTTCACCGGCATATTGACCAGGGGCTTTGTAATAGATTCGAATTCTTTGCCCATCGTCTCTGACGTGTTCCTCATCATGTGCATATCCACCTTTTTGCGCGAATATTTGAATCTTCTCAATTTCTCGGCTCCCGCACTTCCATTGCTTCACAAGAGTCTTTATAAACGCTTGAATTTCTGCGTATAAACTTCGCTCGGTTACCACTATGAAAAAGGTGGAAGAATTTCGTAACGATTCCCATTTCAAGCCGCAAAATATGGTAGGTGACGATAGCCGGGCAATGTTCGAGCAATATTCCGCCAGATTTGCCTTGCCCCATTGAAAGTATATGTCCTGATACCATCGTGATGGTGGCATGACCTTCTCTAAAACCTCGATTTCCTCTTCTCCACTATCGAATTGGCGAGGAGAAATCAGCTTATGCGCCTTCATACCGTCGGGGATTTTCAAGGGATTCCCTGGCTGGAGAATAAGTTTGCACACCGTGGTTCCGGAAAAGAGTAGTTCTCGAGTTTTGAGGCTATAGAAACGCTTCCAAGTGAAAGGAGCAATTAGGTATTTCGTACCATTTCCATCAAACTCAACTTCCAGCTCCATTCGGTTATCTTCTGATTCCTCCGTCATTTTCCATAGCTGCCGACTTGCTTTGGAGTATCGGAATCGTGTCTTCGGGTCGGCGCTACCCAAAAAATTGAGAAGACGACGGTGAAAGGCTGGAGGAAGATCGAGGAAATCGGTTGACGTGGAGGGATTCATCTGGAATTAGCATATAGATAGAGCGAGAAGTGAGAAAAAGAGAAGGAAAGAGAGAGAGAGAGATAGAGAGATCGAGAAAGCTAGGGGAAAATTACGCATGACCGCTAAATTCCAGCTTATTCAAATTAGCATGGGCAAAAACGTCTCTGAAAAGTCCTGGCTAGACGTATTAATAGTATTAATCCTACTATACATAAAAAATAGTGTTTGTGTGTGTGACACTTTGCATGCAACTTTCTCAAGCGTGTCCGGAGGATATCTCGATATGGGAAGAGTTTTTAGCTACGTATGATATGTCATTAGGCGCGTAACGGTCCGAAGATCACTGCACGCATATCAGATTTTTCAAAAACTTTTGTTTTCAACATTAAATTTAAGTTTTTCTGAACTTTTTTGGTCGTCTGCTTTGTTAGGGGACATTTAGCATAATCCGGAAGTGACGGCTAGCCTATATAATGGCAGAAAGGGAATGCTTTTCATTTTTTTGTCGTCGGAATTCAGGAAAACTATGCAGAGTGGAGTATCATCGCGCTAAACGGGGCTTTTCAACCCTGGTAGTAAGTTAATACTACAAACAGGCTAGTATAATTTTTATATGATACTCCTTGAGTTATGTGTATAAAAAATATACATAAAACCTGGAGAACAGTCGTGTTTCGATTGTTTTTATTCAGGATAACCCGCCGTAAGTGGAATCGAGAGAGTGCCGGGAGAGGGTAGAGGCACCGAGAAATGCGAAATACACCACGGGATGACTCAGACAAGCGGTCAGATAGTACGAATAAGGCCAAAAACCATCGGATTTTGTTCGGTTATACCGAATCGCTTGAAATTTAGAACAACGAAAATATTTGTCTTGAACTGCCATAAAAATTTTCTGTTGAAACAAGAGCGCAACAGATATATTTTTTTAAATGTTTTTTGAATTCAGGAGATGCTCAAGAACGCAAAAATTTAAAATCTGAGTATGACAAAATGACTAGCTTTTAAAATTAGCAGAAGACAGCGACGCCAAAACTGACCGGCCTATGCGAATCGCTTCTGAAGCTGATAACAATCGGTTGACCGGGCGGTTTGCGTGGGGGGCTCCGACTAGGGGCTTGTTGGACTTGATTAGAAGTATAAAATTGCTGAAAAAAAAATAGAATTTCTCGCTATCAGTAGAAGCCCCCGATTTCCGATTGCAACGGGATTGGTCGAATATTTTTATGCGATCTTTTATATGTTCAAATCCACAATTTATTTTCTGTCGACTTGTTAGGTAATACTTTATACGATGTAGGCTTGGTTTCCAGTGGTACGCTGGTACGAAATCAGGTTTTTCGCCGGTGCCCATCCGCTTCTTCCGCTTGACCGTGCTGCGCCCGTCGAGCACGACCCGGGAGCCCGAAGAACGGTATCTTCACGATCTCGATCGTCTCCTGGATCTACCTGGAATCAGCAGATTGGCGGAGAAATAGAGGGAGAGAGAGTGAGATAGATAGAGACAGAGCGCGAAAGAGAGAAGGAGGGGGAGAGAACGCAAGAAAGAAAGCAAGAAAGGCAAGGAAAAGCAACCTGGTATGCGCGAAAAAAGCAGCTGACCTCACGAGCCATCAGCCGCTTTCTGAATAACATAGCAATAATTCCGATAAGCGCGAGCGGTCTGATAGTACACTTCAATCCATTGTCCATCTCGCGGCCGATGATATTTCTTCTTTTCGGTATTATCGAATGCCAGACAGTACACCTTGATGTTTTCAATTGCACGGCTCCCTGATTCCCATTGCTCCACGAGGCGGGCAATGAATATTTGAATATCCTCAAGTTCCTCGCACTCCGCATTCAGCTCAAATTTCGGGCATTTGAGCTCGAGGCACAGTTGCAGGTCGCAAAAATCGGGGTAGATTAATGAATGTATATTTTCATTTGCATATTCGATCAATAGAAGTGATAGTGGCGGGTTGTTAGGATAAGTATCGTAAGAAACATGGTGATACTTCCCACCTTTCGGCTTCATCTTCTCCAGCAAGGCTATAGCGTCGACATCTCCTGTATAATCCATCAGTGTTAATTCCAATACTTGCATACCATCTGGGATCGGTTGCTTTGAGTAGAAGATCTCAGCCTCCCGGACCGTGGTCCCGCAAAGAAGTAATTTTTGGGTGATAGGACTAGCGAAGGAGGCAATACGATTCCCGCCTTCATCAAAAGTCACGGTGAGTCCGTTTGGATGAATAGCAACTTTAAAATCCATCAAATTGTCCCGGGACTCCTCAGTCATTTTCCAGAGCAATCGACTTGCGCGTGCGTACCGGAATCGTGTCTTTGGATCTGCACTTCCGATAAAATTGAGAAGACGTCGGTGGAAAGGGGTTGGTAGATCGAGGAAATCCATTTTTGAGCCTGAAGTTTGGAATTTGAAAATCGCTACCAGATGTGACCAGGAAAGCAAAGGTTACGCGAGCAGAATAGGGATAAAAATTTTTAGTGCAGAGGCCAAGCCTAATCCAAGCCTTAACCAAGCCTAAGCTAGGCCTTAGCTAAGTCTGAGCTAGGCCTGAGCTAAGCCCAAGCTAAGCGTAAGCCAAGCTTGAGCTAAGCCTAAGCTAAGTCTGAGCCCGGCCTAAGCTAAGCATAAACTCAGCCAAGCCCCAAATTCTAAAGACAAATTC